CCATCTCCCCCTACCTCGGCGGCGTGGGTGCGTCCCCTCCCAGCCTGCTCCAGGGGCAGGGCTCGGCAGAGTTGGCCGCGACAGGTGCAGACGCAGAGGCCATCAGAGGGTGCAGGCGGCACGCAGGGCTTGCGCAGAGGGTGTTCCGAGGGCCTGGAGGCTGGGAGCAGGGCTGCAGGGAGCCAGCAGGCAGCCAATGCTGTGTGTCCGCAGGGCTCGGCTGCTTCTCCGTGTCCTTCCTGGTCAGCCTGTACTACAATGTGGTCCTCACATGGGTGCTGTGGTACTTCCTCAACTCCTTCCAGCAGCCGCTGCCCTGGAGCTCCTGCCCGCTGGACCTCAACAGGACAGGTGCGGTGGGAGTGGCCTCCTCGGGCTCGTGCCTGTCTCCCACACGAGGTGGCCGAGTCTGGCCCACGCTGGCCTCTGTCCACGTGTCCCCAAGGCTGCTCTCAGCGACTGCGGGGTCGGAGGGCAAGTGGCAGAGCGGGGTGCTCACGTTGGCTGGTCTTTGGCCCAGACCCGAGTCAGGTGCACCGTCTGAGGGACAGCAAGGCCCAGGCCAGGCCCATGTTTGAGGGGCAGCTCTTGAGGCAGGTGACCTCCCTGCCCCTCGCTGATCCAAAAGACCCTGGAGCCACGCTGGGTTCAGAGTGGGTATGAACCTGGATGCCCCAGCACGCATGCGCACTGGCCGGCAAGGGCCCCAGCCACAGTGCTCAGCCCTGTCCCACCAGAGGCTGGGCCTGCCCAGGACCCCCTCGCCCTGAGAGCAGCACCAGGAAGTTCCTGCAGACCGATCGTGGGTGGCAGACCCCGAGGCCAAGGCCCTGGTAGCTCGCCCACGGGTCTGTCTTCGGGGCCACACAGGCTGATGCCCGTCATTGTCAGGCGGGACCTGAGGCCCGGGTGGGCTTACCCAGATGCACACGTTGTCAGCTCGAGGCCAGGGATAACCTGGTCTCAGACTCTTAGCCCAGCATCTGCCCTGCATGCCAGTGTAGGGGTCTGAGAAGGGTTCTGGAAGGTTCTCTCTCTGCCTCATCGATGTCCTGCCTCCCATTCCACAGCTGAGTGTGGCAGTGGGCCGGGTCCACTTTAGAACAGTGGTGGTGCCGGGTCACCCTCCGGGGTCGTAAAAGGGGCAAGAGGGCAGTGTGGGGGGAGGGGCCCTATCACAAGGGGAGCAGTTGCTTATGCCGAGACCTCTCCAAAGATAGCCTGCTGCCCAGGAGAGCGTGTAGGTGCCGTGTGGTCTCCACGCCCGCCCGCACCACCAGTCCGGCTTTCACGTGCCTGGCATCGTGCCTGTGCACACGCAGCCGCCCATGCCATCCTAGGGGCTCCTGGGAGAGTGAGGGGACCATGGTCTGATGCCCATGGGCGTGGCATGGTGGTGGTGGGCCCGGCCAAGGTCTGAGCCCGATGCAGCGGTACCTCCCCAGAGGTTTGTACGTGGCCGTATCTTCACCTCCGATTCTCTATCTCAGCCTCAGGCCCAAGGGGAAAAGGGCGACACAGCAGCCGGGCCAGGGCCTGTCAGGGTGAGGCCTTGGCAGGCTGCCTGAGCCCACGGCTGTGCTGATGGGCCTCCTGTCCCAGGGCTCGTGGAAGAGTGCCAAGCCAGTGGTGCCGTGAGCTACTTCTGGTACCGGCAGACGCTGAACATCACCGCAGACATCAGCGACAGTGGCAGTGTCCAGTGGCGGCTGCTAGTCTGCCTGGCTGCCTGCTGGTCAGTCGTGTACCTGTGCGTCAGCAGGGGCATCGAGACCACAGGGAAGGTGAGGACCTCCTCGGCTGCACGCCTCCTGTTCTGTGGAGGGCACAGGCACTTGGACTCCCCCTTTCTAACCCCTCCCCAGCCTCCCCAGTGGCAATGACCCACTCCCATCTCTCCTGGGCATCCTGGATTCTGACTCCTGGCCTGGTACCTTTGCCCCAGTGAAGCTGCTTTCAGCTGGCGAGATCCTCTGCTCTCAAACAGGTTTCACGTGAGCATCATTCTTGCTCTCTACTGAAAGCGCCCGTCCTTTTACTCTTAACCTCTTTGTGTCTCTGTGTTAAAAGCATGTTTCTTGTAGATAGCACATAATTAGATCTTCCTTTTAATCCAGTCTGACAATCTCTGCCTCTTCTTTGGGCTGTTTAAGCCATTTACATTTAATGTAATTATTGGCACAGCTGGGTTTCACACTGTAGATTATTTTCTGTCACTCCCATCTGTTTTGTGGCTGCTTCTTTTTCTGAGTATTTTACGAAGAGGCCCTATCTTTTTTGCTGTCTCTGCTCTGCAGCTCTGTTTAGCTTCGGGGTGGGCGCCTACATTCACTTTCCATCTGCCATTGGATATGTGCCACCTTCTCTGAATCTTAAGGAACTTATTACACATCTGCCATGCCCGTCCCCCAGGCTTGGTGCTAGCACTGTTGTACATTTCACTTACAATGTCACAAACAACAGGGACGGGCTTTTGTCTTTGTTTTAGCAGTGACCACCCTGTAGAAAGAAATACCAAGAAAGTTGTGTCACTGCTCCCACGCTGCCGGGGCCCACGGGTGTGCTGATGGGCCTCCTGTCCCAGGGCTCGTGGAAGAGTGCCAAGCCAGTGGTGCCGTGAGCTACTTCTGGTACCGGCAGACGCTGAACATCACCGCAGACATCAGCGACAGTGGCAGTGTCCAGGGGCGGCTGCTAGTCTGCCTGGCTGCCTGCTGGTCAGTCGTGTACCTGTGCGTCAGCAGGGGCATCGAGACCACAGGGAAGGTGAGGACCTCCTCGGCTGCACGCCTCCTGTTCTGTGGAGGGCACAGGCACTTGGACTCCCCCTTTCTAACCCCTCCCCAGCCTCCCCAGTGGCAATGACCCACTCCCATCTCTCCTGGGCATCCTGGATTCTGACTCCTGGCCTGGTACCTTTGCCCCAGTGAAGCTGCTTTCAGCTGGCGAGATCCTCTGCTCTCAAACAGGTTTCACGTGAGCATCATTCTTGCTCTCTACTGAAAGCGCCCGTCCTTTTACTCTTAACCTCTTTGTGTCTCTGTGTTAAAAGCATGTTTCTTGTAGATAGCACATAATTAGATCTTCCTTTTAATCCAGTCTGACAATCTCTGCCTCTTCTTTGGGCTGTTTAAGCCATTTACATTTAATGTAATTATTGGCACAGCTGGGTTTCACACTGTAGATTATTTTCTGTCACTCCCATCTGTTTTGTGGCTGCTTCTTTTTCTGAGTATTTTACGAAGAGGCCCTATCTTTTTTGCTGTCTCTGCTCTGCAGCTCTGTTTAGCTTCGGGGTGGGCGCCTACATTCACTTTCCATCTGCCATTGGATATGTGCCACCTTCTCTGAATCTTAAGGAACTTATTACACATCTGCCATGCCCGTCCCCCAGGCTTGGTGCTAGCACTGTTGTACATTTCACTTACAATGTCACAAACAACAGGGACGGGCTTTTGTCTTTGTTTTAGCAGTGACCACCCTGTAGAAAGAAATACCAAGAAAGTTGTGTCACTGCTCCCACGTGACCTCAGTGGGGGCACCTGGGGCTCTTGCAACACGCCTGGAGGAGGGACTCCTTGTCCCTCTGGCATTGCCAACCCCGCGCTACATGAAGGTCCCTTCTAGGTGTAGCACTGAGCCCACACTTGGGTGTGCCTCCTGACCCCGGGGTCCCAGGGTCCAAGAGCCACTCCTGGGTGCCTTCGGCCAGAGAGCTCACGTTGCAACCGCTTTCCTGCGAGGGTCCTCACTCCCAAGAGGGCTGGGATGACGGGATTAGCCCACACAGCCAGCAGGTCCCATAAGCCAGTGGCCCTGTCAGAGTGCCCTAGTGTCCCAGGTGATTCTGCGAGTGGTCTGTACTGGGACACGGCAGGGTGCAGGGCAGAGTGCCCACCTGCAGATTGTTTGCACAGACACTCAGGTGCAGACCTACTTCCTCAGGCGAGGACTGGTACTGCCCGCGTGGGGGGCTGGCGGCCCCCAGGGCTCCTGCCATGTGGACCATTCAGCAGGGGAAGGCCAGGAGTCAGAATCCAGGATGCCCAGGAGAGATGGGAGTGGGTCATTGCCACTGTGGAGGCTGGGGAGGGGTTAGAAAGGGGGAGTCCAGGAGGGGTGGGCAGAGGACCTCTGAGGGAGTCAGGAAGGAGGAGAGCCTGGAGAAGGAGGCCAGAGGGGAACCTGGAGTCAGGGTAAGGGGACGTGGAAGATGGCAGGTCTGGGGGGGGAGGCTGGCAATCGGAGGGTAGGGAGAGCCTAGGGAGGAAGAGGTCATGGAGGGAGAGGCCATTGGAGAGGTTCTGGGAGGGGAGCCTGGTTAGAGGCTGGGGCAGAACCCAAGGAGGGGAGTGGGCAGAGACTGCACCCAGGGTGCCCATCGGGCCAGCCCATCCTAGTGACCAGTGGCCCCTGGCTGTCCCTGGAGTCCAAGGTCTCAGGACACAGGTGTGACTGCTCACAGAGCTCCAGCCCCGAGCTAGCTGGTGCTGTACCCAGGCCCAGGCATCTCCCGAGGCCGGGCTGCCCGCTTGCCTCCTCCCTGCCCTCTGTGCCATGGACGCCAGAGACTGAGCCACACCCCTCCCCAAGGCGATCTACTTCACGGCCTCGTTCCCGTACCTCGTGCTGACCATCTTTCTCATCCGAGGACTGACCCTGCCTGGGGCAGTGGAGGGCCTGGGCTACCTGTTCACCCCCAATGTAAGTGGGCGCGGGCCTCAGCAGTGGCGGTTGCACCCCAGGACGTGGGAAGGCAGAGGGGCTGCCCGTGGTTGGATGCGAGATGGGCCCAGGACACCGCGGTGAGGGTAGGAGGAGGGCCTGGGGGTCCCAGGAAGGAGACAGGTGGCACAGAGGAGGCTTTGTGGGGTCATCCAGCTGGAGACATCAGGGGGAGAGGGCTCTGTTACAGGCCCACCCTGGACCCCACATCAGGACCTGTGTGGTCACAACCCCACCAAGGAGCTGTTCCTTGGGCTGGTCCCAGCCTGTGCCCTTCCCACGGGTGCTGCCTGGGCTGGTACATCTGCCAGAGGCCAGAGACCTAGACAGAGCCAGAGGAGGTGGTGGGTTCGTCCAGGTCCCTTGCAAACACCCAATCCACGACTTGGGGGCTTCCAGTCACCCAGTCACCAGGCCCAAGAAGGCAGAATGAACACACCTCTTCCTGCCCCAAAAGGCCACACCAGCAGGGTCCCCACGTGGCCTCCCAATGCCCAGGCCCCCTTAGCCTAGTCGGGTGTCATCCCGGGAACTGTCTACATGTGCCCCTGACGAGGCCCCGATCTGGCCTTGGTGCCCGAGGGTGCTCAGGCGTCCTGGGAAGCCCGAGTGAGTGCCCTGCCTCCTGCAGATGCGCATCCTCCAGAGCCCCCGGGTATGGCTGGACGCGGCCACCCAGATCTTCTTCTCGCTGTCGCTGGCCTTTGGAGGACACATCTCTTTTGCAAGTTACAACCCTCCCAGGTGGGCAGTGGGCTCGGTGGCTCCTTCACAGCCAGGCATGGCCTGACAGCCCAGACACCCCAGGGCCCCCCAGTGAAGGGCCGCCCCTGAGAGGCAGGCAGTTCCCTCATGTCCGTCCAGAACCGGAGTGACAGAGACAGGCCACGGGCATGGCACTGCCCCAACCATGCTGCCCGAGCCGTGGACCGAGGCGGCGTGCTTGGCCTGACCGCCCCGGGGTCGGCAGAGCTCACAGTGGTGCAGGGTGAGCTGTGTGAGCGTGGCCGGAGCAGCCCCACTGGCTGTCACTCACCACGGGGAGTCTGGACGAGCCGACCTGGACAGCAGTTCACCCTCGTAGGGGTGGGGGTCACGAGGGGCCTTCAGGGAAGGACACGTGAGGCAGCCCGGCGAGCCTGGCCTCTCACCCAGCACACGCAGGCGCCTGTCCTCCAGGGTCACCCAGCACCTGCCTTCCAGGCCCTTCTGCGACCCCTGCCCCTTGCAGCCCCTAAGGCTCTGGGGGTGGCATGGAGGAGGCTGCGCGGGGTTGGGGCTGTGGTCGCCCTCAGAGCACAGGACAGGTCTCTCCTGGCTTGGGGCATCCCCAACAGGAAGCCCCAGGTGGGCTGTGCTCTCCTAGGAACAACTGCAAGAAGGATGCGGTGACCATCGCTCTGGTCAACAGCGCGACCTCCCTGTACGCGGCCATGGCGGTCTTCTCCATCATGGGCTTCAAAGCCACCAATGACCTCGGGCGCTGCCTGGACAGGTGAGGGCCGGCTCCGCTGTGCCCTGGAGGAGGGATGGTGTTCCCACGTGTCCACGTCCCTCCGTTGCTGGCCTCTGAACGTGACCTGTGGAGGGGCGTCTTTGTGGCTATAGCTAAGCTGAGGGTCGAGCGTGACCATCCTGGCGACGGTGGGCCCCAAGTCCAGTGACAGGTGTACTCACAAAGAGGAAGGGGCACGGACACCAGGACAGAGCCACAGGAGGACGGCAAGAGACCAAGTGTGAGGCCATGCGTGCAGCCCCTGAGGCCCTGGAGCCTCCAGGAGCGTGGCCCCTCAGATGCCATGAATTCTGACACCACTGCCCGGACCTGAGAGGGGCCCATGCCCACTCGGGGCCACTGGCTACGGTGCCCCAGGACAGCCCTGGGGATCTTGCTCCAGGTGGGAAGTGCCAAGGCTCTCGGTTATGACCTACGGCTGGCGTGTCTCGTCACTCAGACGCCATCACATGGGCCAGCATGCCCCCGACCCCCCCCACCAGGGGCCCGGTGAAGTCAGGTTGCCACACGTGGTGGGGTGGGGGAGCAGTCCAGACCCACGTGGTGCAGGCACTGCTGACAGCCTGGGGTGGCCACCGAGAACGGCCAGAGCAGACAGGAGGGTGCAGGCCAGCCCTGGAGTCCAGAGCCGCCCAGTCACACCCCTTGTGTATGGCATGCCCAGACTTGGCTGGTGGAAGGTCAAGGCTGATTTCAGCCAGGGCACCTTCATGACAAGCGGCCCTCTGAGTCCATGGACCAGAGCCGGCACTGCCAACCTGAGCTGGCACAGTTGACTGTCCGGGCCCCACAGCTCGCGTGCACTGTGCCCTAGGGAGGCCGGGGCAGTTCCGCTGCACTGGCCGTGTTGTCCACTGCTCACGTCGCAGCCCTCTTCTGCGCCGGCTCTGCTCAGACACCGCGAGCAGGTGTCACATTGCATTCCTGGCACGTGGAGCTCGTGGCCCACCGGCACGCCATCCTCTCCAAGTGGCTCACCAGCCCTGCATTGGGGCCACGGGGTGTTTCAACAGCAAGATTGTCAGCAGGGGCAAGAACGCAGGGGGACGCAGCCCTCGGTGGTCGTGTGCTGTTTGCAGTCTGTGCAGAACAGGGAGCCGTGTCCAGTCTCACCCGCCTGGGTTGGGCCTGCATGTCCAGAGACCCGGTTCTGCCCCTGATGGGATGCTGTGAATAAGCGCTGAAGTGCTAGGCACTGCCACGGGCCACGGGCCACGGCCCTGCGAGTGGGTGGACAGGAGGGCTGACGGCACAGCCCTGCCCCGGGCCACCGGATCTGCCCTGGAGCCCGAGGTGAGGCGAGGCCTCCCAGGGTTGTCCTGGGGAGTCCTCGCTAGGACGGACCTGCTCCGCCTGGCTCTGCTCCCGGGCACGTGTGGACCTTCAATGGTGGAAGACGCATCCAGCAACCTCCAGAAGACAAGTCCTCACCGAGCCCAGCCCCTCAGAGCCAGCCAGGACCCAGGGCAAAAAGCTCACCACCCCGTCTCTCCTGCAGAGGGCTGGGGAGGCAGAGCAAATTGGTTTCCCCACTTGGTCTGGCCGGGCACAGGTGTCATACCACCAAAGGGCAAGGAGGCCTTCCCTGCATGTGTGGGCGCCCCACTGTGCACCCCCACCTCTCGTGTCCCCACAGAAACATCCTCAGCCTCATGGATGAGTTTGACCTCCCAGAACAGAGTGTCTCCAGGGACAGCTACCTGGCCACTCTCACGCATCTGAGCGCCACGCAGCCAGAAAGGGTGGCCCAGCTCCCCCTGAGCACCTGCAGCCTGGAGGACTTCCTGGACAAGGTAGCAGGTGCCTGGGTCAGGCTCCACCCACGCAAATGGCCATGGAGCTTTCCCAAAGGCCCGGTACCCAGGCTGGGCCCGGGGGTCGTGTCTGGGACTCAGTGTGCCGGCGTCCTAGACGCCTGGTGGTCTCCCAGCAGCTGTGTCCAACACAGTCCTGCTGAGCAGCAAGCAGAGAGGGCGGCCACCACGCCGCAGCCTGACCTGCTCAGGGCCAGCTGGTGAGGCCAGTGTGCTAGGCCAGGCTGGCAGCCTCGCGCCAGGGCTGCAGACCCCATCATCGCTCACTGAGGGTCCAGAGGCCGAGGTCACCTTGGCCGGATGCTAAGAGGGTGTGCCTGAGAGGTGCGTGTGTGGCACAAGGTCATGCACGTGTCCACAGCAAGTGACGTCCACACCAGAAGCACAGTTAGGCATGTCCGGGGGCTAGGGAGCCCATGCGCGGGTGCGTGTGTGCATGTGTGCACCGTGTTGCAGAGCGCCTCGGGCCCGGGCCTGGCCTTCGTGGTGTTTGCAGAGGCTGTGCTGCATATGCCGGGGGCCCCGGGCTGGGCCGTGCTCTTCTTTGGAATGCTGTTCACCTTGGGCCTGTCCACCATGTTTGGGAACATGGAGGGTGTCATGACGCCACTCCTGGACATGGGGGTCGTGCCCAGATGGGTACCCAAAGAGGCCCTGACTGGTGAGTGGACACTCGGCCCTGGAGGGCTGCCTCATGACCACTGTACCCTCAAGGAGGGCTCCGGGGCTGTCTGGCACTGTGCAGGTGGGGTGGGAAGAGGTGGGGTGGGGAGGGGTGGGCTTCCCCCCCCCACCGCTGGGGCACCCCACGGGAAAGGCAGGGTGGGGCAGTGCAGGGGCTCTGAGACCCCGCTCCAACCAGGCCCCATGCCCGGCCCAGGGCTGGCCTGCCTGGTCTGCTTCCTGTCGGCCACCTGCTTCACACTGCAGTCGGGCAGCTACTGGCTGGAGGTCTTCGACAGCTACGCCGCCTCGCTCAACCTGCTGGTGTTCGCCTTCTTCGAGGTGGTCAGCGTGGCATATGTGTACGGGCTGGACCGGTGAGCTGCTTCTGCCCCTACACACACCCCGCGGCTGTCCCTGGGGCCGGGCTGGTGCCTGAGCAGGGACCCTGTGGGGCCTGAGACCGTGCCTCGCAGATTCTGTGACGACATCGAGTGGATGACGGGGAGCCGGCCCGGCCCCTTCTGGCGGCTGACGTGGAGGGTCGTGAGCCCCCTGATGCTGCTGGCCGTGTTCCTGGCCTACGTGGCCCACTTGACCCAGAGGCCACCGAGCTACGGGGCCTGGAACCCCCAGCATGTAGGTCTGCCGAGCACCCAGAAGTCCCCAAGGGCCAGCGAGGGCAGGGTGGGTGTTCACCCTGTGCAGCGAGGCCTGGCCAGTCGGCCTGGCTGAGGCCATGATGTGGACAGTGGCGTCCACACAGCAGCCACGTTACAGACCATGGTGCCCCCTCGGGCCCGGCCTCCTACTCCCTCCGTGTTTAGAGGGCAGTCTTGGCCGCAGGGGGTGGGCTTGGAGTGCTCCTCTCCAGGAGGGGGGGACCCCGGCTCAGCCTCTTCTGCTGCCCCTCTAGGAGTGAGGGGGCAGACCCTTCCTGGCCGGGGAGGGGGCCCCGTGCTCCCTGAAGCACTGTCACAAACACCGTCTCTGCTGGCGGGCGGTGCTGCCCTCTCAGGACGGTGATGACACTGGCCCGCCCCAGAAGCTCCCCAAGAGGAAGCTGTGCACAAACCCCAGAACCACCCCTCCTCCCCGGGAGCAGCTGTGCTCCGTCCTCCCCCGGGGTCACCGCTCAGCCCTGCCCGCTCAGCCTCACAGGGTGGTCCCCCTCACCGTCAGGGTCACTGCTCAGCCCTGCCCACTGTCTCACGGTGGGGGGGGGTGTCCCTCGCAGTCCGGGCCACCGCTCAGCCCTGCCCGCTCAGTCTCACAGGGGGGTCTCTCGCAGTCGGGGCCACCGCTCAGCCGCCCGCTCGGCCTCACAGGGTGGTCCCCCTCACAATTGGGGCCACCGCTCAGCCTGCCTGCTCCATCCTACAGGAGCGGTTCCCCTCGCGGCAGGAGCGGCTGTACCCAGGCTGGGCACGGGCTGCCTGCATCCTCCTGTCCTTCCTGCCCACACTGTGGGTGCCAGGGGTCGCGCTGGCTCAGCTGCTCACAGGGAACAGACGGGAGCAGGACATGCAGCAGAACGTGCACCTGGAGCCGCAGGACGGGGCCTGCTGAGGGGCAGGGGCGGGGAGGCCCCTGTGCTGCCCCGTGCCCAACCATTACACACCTGCCACGCCGATGCCTGTGTGCTTGCTTCCCTGACACCTTCGTGCCACCCAGCTGCTCTCCAACGACACAAGCCTGTCCCTGGAAACCGCAATGCCAGGGGTGCCACGTGGGGCCAGCCTCAGACTGTTGCCAGGTGGACTGTGCCGAATCAGGCAGCTGCTGCAGCTGTTGGCAAAATGGCAGGGCACGGTAGTC